CTTAAAAAAAGACAGCAGTGCCTTCTTGTAAATAATTATTTACCAACTAATAAATAGCAACGAGTCGATCAATTACAAGTTACAGGTGATAGACTTTTATCTTATAATTCTGTAATTTTGCACGAAACGTATTGGAAGATCTGAGTTTGTCTGACTAACAGACCTGCTGATATCTTGCCGGGAAATTTGTTGATGTTCGTAGCTTGTGACGCGTAAATCCTCGTTACTTATTAGTTAGACTAAGGCACGAAGAACCTGGTATTCAAGCTACAACTCTGATACTCGAAATGGTAAAAGGGAACATTCCCTGTTTGGTAGTACTAGCCTGCGAATAGTCAACGCAATCTCGCGTGCGGTAATTATCGCCAAGCAAGATAGATCGAACGTTTCAATTAGCGGTTATCAAGACCCGTTACATCCGATGCAAGATTTACGCTTGTCGATTAGGTTTCTGTACAATTGGAAATTGGAGATACCGTGGCAGAAATAAGCCTTGCCGAGTTTCCACGCATGAACTGAAAGCTCATAGCTGTTGAAGGGTTTGCAACAGCAACCAGATAGCTATTTAGCAGATAGATATTTAAATTCCATCTATTGGAAAGGAGAAGAAGATACAGGTTTCATGTTGGAAAGTGCAGAAGTTTATTATTACGAATATAGCGTTACATGGCCTAATAATCTGTTCTGGCGTTATACAGAAATTTGAACTTTTCTCATCCTTTCAAAAAGCGTATCAACTGTTACAAGTTGAACATCATCGTACGTTGGTACTGTTTCATTTCAGCTGCTTCAATCGTATAATATTACACGTCAGTAGTACACCCACTGATCTCGCTTACTTAAACGCTCCAACGATCTCTTATATCCCTTTAGATCTTCTCTCATCGTTTCTCTCTTTTTCTTATTTTATTAGTTATTAATTCTTCGTATTTACGATTCTAGTTCGGTATTTAGTTAGTTTCATTAATTACATACTACCCAGAATTACTACTATTTATCAGGTTTCTGGTAATTATGTTGAAGTGGTCACCACTTCTAAGAAAGCTCTACATCTGGTCTTTTTAGTTTTCTCAAGCACTGAAACCATCGACAGCGTATAGACAAAAGACTGGGACGAATGCAGACCATAGACGGTAGACAGGCGACGATGGCTACGGGGTTTTCAGTTATAGGGTAACACTGCTGGCTGCACCAGCTCAAATTATATTCCTACTTGTACTTACACTTCTGTATTAAAGTATATTTTCTACCTTACAATTTATCCGCGCGTTTCTCTGTTTATACATCTAATAAGCTCAACAAATTATAATTATTAATCGATTATTCTTTTAATCGCGTGTCAGTCTACTACGAATTTTTCATGATTTTGGTCTTCGGTTGATCTTCGTTGTTTACTCGGATCCCTGGAAAATGGCAATTGCACGATACGATAAATATTTTTGTTAAAAAAGATTGAACAGGAACTAAGAATATCTGACTTTCTCGGCAAAGAGCCCCTCGATTCGTCGTTACACGAACCACGATAATCAGGCTACGCGAGAAACAACGAAATTAGGAGAATTTCAAGCTCGTTCGAAAATAAAACACCTGTAATAATAGCTTGCGTCGGTGAGATGTCAATGCCTCCGTATAATTATTCCAACGCGTAACACTCTCATAAGTCTCCTCGAGATGGCTACGGCTATTAATAACCTTGCCACCAAGATTCACGTAACACGACTAACTATAGGCGCATTTAATAGAACGGTGATATCTTTCCGACCGAAAGCTCTCCTCTCCTGTTTCTTCGTCCCCTTTTCTTCCCACCGTGTCCCGAGGGCGCGGTTTGCACTTTTTAGCCGAATTTCCAGACCTCGGCGACACCGACCTCCGCCTCATTAAGGAGTGACGTATCGACCTGGGAAATCGGCGTTATTCTCTACGGTTCTTGCAGTAATCAGTGCGTGGAGTTATCGCGAGAACGAATCTACGCGCCATTACTCGCGAAATTCGCGCACCCCTCGAGACTCTTGTCGAATTTACCGAGCACAGTCGAAAGATTGAATTCGTCGTACTTTACAGTCGGGACGCGTAACTTCATAGCAAATTAATCCTTTAACATTCTGACTCTTTTAACGATTGATCGCGTTAAAGGTACAGGGATTTTGTTTTCGGTATATTCGAGGGATTATATTCTGCGAATGTAAAAGCACAGGTTGTGCATTTTTTACGCCGTTCAAAATGCTTTTATCTTTGATATTTAAAAATAGAGAGTCGTAGGAAGATGTACAATTCGATAAATCAATAATAACGCGATAACGATTATAACAAAAAGAGTAAAAGAGGTAACGATACAACGTACAAAAATAAAACTCTGAATTATCGGGAATAGGGGCCGATAAAAAAAAAGGGGGATTACTGAATATAATGATCATTAAAAAGTTGAACAGGTACATGAGAGATATCAACTTGAGCTTTGTGAACGATGTATATTTTACCCACCCGATACAACTATAAGGCGAAGCACACGTCTTAATTTTTCTATAAAATATTATAATTTCGTTTCGACAATGTCTCCGTATGTAGCTCCTTTTGCGGACGTCACGAACTTGAATAAATTCGACGTTTTAACATAGCCGTGTATCTAACGAACATGGGCGTTAAAGAGTTAAAAGAAGAAAATCGTTGTTTCGGCCTGTCTGAAGTTGCTCTTTTTTCCCAATTGTCTGTACACAGAGGCCAGCGGGTCCAAGTAATTTCGCTAAAGATAAACGAGAAGTCGTTTTTCGACGTACACGTGAAATTAATTTCCTAGCAGGTTGTTTGGCCATTTTACAGTCATCCTGTTTTCACATCCACCCTCGAAACTAGTACGAGGGCGGAATAAAAAGATTAGTGGGTGTACTAGTATCGATGGACCAAGTAGCCTTGTCATGCCACGTCCCCGGAGATTGACCATACCGGACGCCGTAAATAGAAAACGATGGATAGAGGTTGCTCTCGGTGAACAGGGGATACGGACCACCACCTATCTGCTCCGATAGGCAACGGTCGTTCCTCCTCGTGGAAGGAGGAGATGTCCGAAACGAATGAGTGAACGAAAATAAAAAAAAGAAAAAAAAATAAACGACATACAAAAACGAGTAAGAATGGGGAAAGGAGAGACAGGAAACGAGGAGAAAAAGGGGAGGCTAGAGGGAGAAAGGGAGAAAGGAAAACGTGACAGGGTGAAACAGTAGTCATGGTGTGTACATATGGAGCTCAAGGTTAAACCTTGACCCTCCTATTCTGAATTGGAAACTTACCACGCCCTAAAGATGAACCCTCGATCCCTTTCTTCCTTTTCCCAAATGCTTTAACCGCTTTTCTGATTTATCCAGGCTCCTTGCAATTTCTTATCGCGCCGCGTCTGCTCGGAAAGGAATTCTTCGAAAGTTAGGAACTTCCGACGCTTAAGATTCTTAAGCACGCCTTAATCTGTATTTCTCTTTAGCGAAATACACGAGCTTCTTCGAGAAGTCCATTCGATGCGTATGCGGTTAGGCATTTGGCGAATTTGGTTGGACGAAACGAGGGAAAAAGAGTGAAAATCCAGGGTGCAAATAGAAGCAGAGTGAGAGGGGGAACGATGCGAACGCTAGACGCGCGGCGAGAAAAAAAGTTGCTTAATTATTCAGCGGGGGAAAGCGAATGGAAGATGCGCCGAAAGTTAAATAATTACATTTCCAGCAGCTGGCTGAAAAGCAGAATAGGTTAATTAAAATGAGCAGCATGCAACACCCGCCATACACCCGTGTGATATTCACGATCCGTTGAAACATTATGTAAATACGGTTAACGATCGTTTGTTCTCGGTTCTTCTCTTCTTTTCTTTTTTCATCTCATTCTTTCCGTTTTCGGCCTGCGATTCGCATGGTCCTTTTCACACCAATCTCGACGGTCGTAGATCTCTTCTTTTTCGCTTTTCTTTCCCGTCTTTCGAAACCTGTACGCGGAAGATTAAAAACCATCCTTTTCCCATTCGTGATTATTACAAAAGAGCACCGAGTAGCTTGAGCTTTTATATTATTCGGCCTGAAAATTCCGGTCTTATCTCGTCCACAATGTTTCACGGACGTCTCCTCTCGGCCCCTATCCTCTGCCATCGCCACCATTCTTTTCGACCCCGGCGATACGAGTATTCAACGCGTGCCGCGTGCTCTTGCAAATTTTCAATCGCATCAGTCATCGCGCGGTTTCGAATCGCTGCCGAGCATTATCTGTATCTGGGAAAAGCTCAAAGCGCCACCCACTCGCGTCGATCTGTCCTTTCAATTCGTGCTCTCGTACACGGTGCATTTAACCGGCTGCTATACGTACAACTCGCCATGTATTCTTTTTCGACGCTTACGAAAGGCTATTTACCGTTGAATAACTCGCCGTTTCTCGAATCTCGTATTTTTATTCTTGTTTCTCCTTGTTGCTTTTTTTCCTATTCTCCGTTTGAATTTAACAAACGACAGGACAGTGGTTTGGTCGAAAAACTCACAGACTTTTTTAACCTTTGCTCCAGCAAGTGCTGGATCGTTTTAATCCAGCGCTTATATTAATCCGTCTGTTTATGTGGACGATACAAAATATAATATTGCAAATATACGACTTGCTATAAATACACGCGGTTGTTTTTTTAATACGATTCATGGCGCACCAACATCTTACACTCTCTTCGTATCAAGTTCAATAATTTGAACTTTTCCAAATTTTGAAAAAGATATAAGTCCTAAGATTTTCGAGCTGTTCGATGAACATTCGCGTGTTTTCTCCGAGCAATAAATTATTTTATAAATCCTAGTACGAGTACGAGACATTTCAGAAAAATAAGATGAAAATTTAATATGAAAAATTATCTTGCATAATGTTCGCGTCGATGATAGATCAGAGTGAACCGCAGTTCGAAAATTGAATGGACGAACCTTATTTCTCTAAATCTCGGCGTCCGATTCACACGGTATTAACCAGTGTCGTCTCTGGTACGTTTACAGATCCAGAAAACAGCTGGCCCGAGAGCGAAGGTCGCCGGCCATGGAATATAATTAGTCCGCACCACTTATGGAACGTCAGGCCAACTATGGGTACACTGTACGCTGAAACGCTCACGCTAGTCGTCACGAGATCTACTTGGAAATCGGCCTTTGTCCAACACGTGTGCCCACGGACAGTTTTGTTTCCTTCTTAAAGCGACTCCTTCGTTCTATCGTTTGGACGTTCTATCATATGTCACGAAAGGAACGTCAGGAAATAACCTGCGCATTGATGGTCAGTATCTGCAAATATTTCAAGGGTAACCAACTTTTTTTCCAGGAACTTCCATGGACTTGCTCCATTCCTTTAAAGGATCCTTAATCGGGTCGATTGTTCGACGAAGCCTTGGACGAGCCTTTGGATTTTCCAAATAGCAGATAACCGATGCCAGAGTACATAGTAATTACGACAGCTGTAATTGCCGGTGTATTAGCCGTTGCAAATGTCGAACCTGCCAACCACAAGGTTTCCCTCGTAAACCTGGGGGAAGAAGATCGTCCAATTAACTGTCTCGTTTAATTGAATCTTATTTCCTTTTCGCTTGGTCCAGTTCCATCGGGGCTTCCGCGCTTAATCGCGCAAGCCGAACGCAATGCCTAGAAGAACAACCACGGACAAAAGTAATTTCAGCCTGCTCCTGGTAAATCACGGGACAATTTATTGTACGATAGAAAAGACAGAGTTAAATGGAGCAGCATTTTTGTGGTAGTCGTTGGTACTTCAGCCTTCGACAGCTCGCAAATTGTCGTCGAGAGCCGCTCGAATTTTGTGAAAACGGACCATACCACGTTTAAATGCCCGTCCAGACACGGGGCATTCTTTCGAATTTTTCAGACAATTCGTTTTGCGGCGGATGCCACGAGGGAGAGAACAGCAAGCAGAAACGAAGTAGAGGAGTTTCGAGAACCAAGGGGATACGGGGAGCAATTCCCCGGGACGAGTCGAGGTGGAGGTGCAGGTATTCTTTTTAAGGCGGAACACTTTACCGTTGCTCGTTCCACGCTGGTAATGGAGAATCTCCCAGCCACCCCAAGGAATTAATTCGGGGCTAACGCCGAGACACTCCCCGATATCGAGTCACTTCGTTCCACGGGCCAATGTTAGTATCTGCTTACCACCCTCTCGGTTAGCTTTTCACCGTACTTAGCCATTTCGACTCCTTCTTTTCTCTTCTTGTTCAGCGAAACGATTTCTAATTTGTCCTCTAATTTGTCCAAGATCCTCGAATCCGTTTTACTGGGTCACTTGAAAAAAAAGGAAAGAAAGGGGATAGAGAAAAAAAAAGAAAGGTAAAATGTTCTCTGTATCTTTCTCCGCCTCTTACGCCCACTGGCTGCATCTGCGTACGTATTGGTCGGATATTTGGCTACGATTTTTGCCATCAATTGTGCGCTTAAGCAGTCGTAGTAGCCCTTTATTGCCAGGCTCGCGGTCTCCAAGATGAAAAGCGAACTCCTGGCGAGCTTCCACCAGAATTAAGAGACACTCGAGGCGCTTTTTAATTAGCACGAAAGGACATCATCGGGAAGAGACAGAGCTTCGGTCTAAATACGTAATTAAAGCCGTGAATGGGGTAGTTACAGTAACTGCGTGGAACGTCATCGACTGCCAGTGAAATCGGCCGGAAAACGCACTCCTTCGGAAGCGTGCTGGAGCAATTTCTCTTCCCACATCCTCTCAAAAACTCATTCTCATAACTTTATCGATATTTACGCGTGTAGCTTCTTCGTCGTAAATGCAAATCTTTCAGAAATTTGTTTACATTCTCGCATCGAGGAAGCATCACGGTGGCATCCCTCTTTCACGATACAAAGCACGCGTTATTCGCCGCTTCGCATTTCTCTAAAATTCTTCCAGCGTAAGTAACATCCCCGCCCTTCAAAAAATTCGGAAAATTCCAAGAAAATTGCAAGAAAATCAGAAACTGCCATTCGAAAACTTCCCCCCACCCCCTAACTTTACCTACGCCTACTTTATGCGTGAAGTTTATTTCATAGACGCAAATCTTGTAGATTCTCGTACGAAGGAGAAATCACGTCAGGATTTTCTTCACTATGCGAAGCACGTGTCGTTCGCCGCAGAATCTGCTTCTCTATGGAATTCTTCGAGTATAATCTCTCCCCTTCTGACGAAAATTCAGAAGATTCCGAAGAAAAGCGAAAAATCGAAATTCGAAAGCCTGGTGTTTCAGTAACTACAAACAGGATGCCTTTGAAAGCATCTTCGGGCGCACGAAGCGCGCGCGAAAGAGATGAACGAGATCGGGGCGCGAGGTCGAGGGAGGCTGGCACAGCTTGAAAGGGAGGGGGAGAACCCGAGGGCCGAGAAAGAGAGGGAAATTCAAAGATGGCGCCACGCGTATGCCCGACAGAGATAAAGCACAGGGGTTAAAGAAAGACGTGCACTTTCGTTGGCTTCCCCTCTCACAGCGACGAAGAGTGACCGGGCCGAAAAGTCCGAATCCGATCGTGGAACGGCTCAGTAGTGCGCGAGACACATTTCCCGACGCGTGTTCGTCGCTCGTATCGATATCTCTCGATGATTCACGAGCGTTGCGGCGAGAATACGCGGCGACCAATCCCCAGTTCCGTTACATCAGCATCCGACTACGTGGGTCCTCGACGATTGGCTCTCTCTGCGCTGCGCTCGAGTATCTCTCTCTAGCAACCAGAAAGGGAGAAAAAGAGATGCACTCGTATATTTTATACTCACGATTCTGGCTTATTCTCGTACGAGATACAGCGTGATCCGTTCGCTGAAGAATCGCGCGTGCTTTTCGTGTGAAACGAGAAATTACGAGCTTTCGACGAAGAGGAAACGTTAGCGAGAATTCAACCAACAGCCGAGCGACAGAGAAAGGGAAGAGAGGGAGAGCAGAGCAGAGCAGAGTAAGAGGGTATTTTGGACGCAGATCGATCGGTCGCGGCCGCTCTCCGGTTCGCGCCATGTGACCGGTCAAAGACCAGTCTGCATAGGAAAAGAGGTTAGAAAACTTATTCGTTGTCTTTGCGCGTACGGTGGCCGCGTGGTGTTACGTCCGTTCGTTAATCGAGAAAATGAGAGGTGTCGAGTAACTTGACGTTGTCAGTAACGCGCGAGCCAGTGAAAGATTCGCTTGTTTTTCATAAAGTGTGCATCGGTCGCCTTAGTTGTTCTAGTGGCGGTCTTCGAAGAGCGCGGTCGCGAGGGAAGAGAGAGCAGCGGAGTTTGCTACGAGAGTGTGTAGTTGTCTCGGGTCAGATGTAAAAATAAAAGGAAGCAGACGTGTCTCAAGGCTATCGCGCCGCATATTGTCTCGCCAGGAGCGTAAAATCACGCGAGAGTCTCCCTGCATGCCGTTTATTTCATTCCGCCGATATCCTCCGATGTAAGCGCGCGCATCCTCTTATCATCGCTTCGCTCGTATACTTGCACGGTTTACACGCGAGAGTGTTACTAATATAACCCGCTTTCCGAGTGGAGCTTTTGTTCAGTGTCACGAATTTATTCTTCGTCGCTTGAAAAAAATCGCGCGCTTTAGGAAGGAAATAAATTAGATCACGGTAGTTTATGCAATTAAATGTCAGCTGAATATAATGTAAAGCGTATAACGTGTATATATAGGATTATAATATTAATTCCTCTTGTTTTTATATTTGTTACTGTAAAAAATAGAAAAAACAGGACGAATTTATGTTACAACCCAGTAGTATAATACAATCTAAGGATTAATTCCATCGTCGATATATTGGGAACAACGAAACGTATTTTTCGTTTGTTTCGTTTTCGATCTCTTCTCTCGCGGTATCTCGATTCCGGTGAGACAAAAAGAACGCGGCTTGGAACAAATGCAGGGTTCGTTCGTGCGTGAAATTCTACGAGGTTCGTTCCGAGAAAGAAATCAGCTCGAAGAAAAATAAATAAACGTGTGTTGCTTCCCTGCATACGTTCGATACATTCGTTAGCACTTTTTCGAGGTTCGTTTGTGACAAAACTTCGCTATCGTATACATATATAGCAAATATTTATGTATTTAACCGCTTTAGGGCCGATAGTTAGTAAAATTCGTTTCGGAAAGATAGTACGATCTACCAAGATCTATCTCTTCATGGAATCATAAACTTTGAAAAGCACGTGTGCTCGGGCCACGTGTTCTGTAACGTTACGAAAGAATTTTCTCTGGGATTTTGAATCTTCCTTTATTCTTTTTTGTCCGTAATACTCATTCTTGCGTTTTGTTAATAGCAAGCGAGACACGAATAGTTTATTTCTTTTCACTCGATTAGGAAGATGTTAAAACATTTTCTTTCTGGCTTCAAGTTTTTTTTTTTTTTTATAAATGATATTGTTAGAAAATTAATGTATGGAACACTGTTACGTACACTAAAATAGTAAATGGCATTTCTTAAACGATTAAAATATCAAGCCAGCGTTAGGAGCTATATGTATATGGCGTGTATAGGCAGATAACGTGTGCTTATCTAGAAAAGCAGAATTCGTCTACCAAAACCTTGAGCATTTTCGATTAACCTCTATTTATTTATTAGAGATTTATTAAAGCTTGCTGAATTATGATTCCTTCTTATTTTTCCAAGAAGAATCAGAATATATAACGTGACGTAGTAAAAATTATTCTTCCTTTCTTCTCACAGTTACCATTCAGTTGACAAATTTCTCGGAGAACGCATCTGTATTAAAGAGAAAATTCAACATACGCGTTAGTACTCCGCGAGAGGTTGAAATATTTGCGATAGAATTGCGACAGTCATTGAAGTCAGCGAGGAAATTGAAGCCCAGCGGAGACAGATAAGTGGGTCGCATTCGCTTCTGACTGCTGATTTCTGAATTCACTGTCGCTGTTGCGAATCGACGTCAATGAGATCGATATCAATTAAGCCACGGGCCGTTGATCGCTGGAAACCCCATAAATGGCAATCTGCTTACACCGGTATTTCCTGAGAATGTCTAACACACACCGACCAAGTGTGTTTAAACATAATCCATATATTTCCTTCGCATTTTACTTCCTAACGGTGCGCTGTGTTAAAAGACTGTGGCGTCCTGAGCGAAACGTGTGATTTCGGCGTGACAGTCAAAGTGTTAATTAGGATATTTTCTCTACGTTAGGATCTGTTTAAGCGGATTTATTTATTTCCTCTCTTCGAGCATCCACTCGTATTCGAAATTTTCCAATTAGCGTTAAATCGAATGGAAATGAAAAATGTAAACTCTCGCGCTTACGACCTACGAGCGACTAACTTTACGCGACAATCAAACTATTCCTAGACAAAAAAAAAAAAAAAAAAAAAAAAAAAGAAAAGGGAGAAGAAAAAATGGAATTTTAACTCTTACTTCATTTACTTTGTTTTATTTCATTTCAAAAATTAATGTAGCGTGTTTGAAGACGTTGTGTGATCTTTTTAAAGACTATTGGCACATAGCGCGTAGAATTAAGTACGCCAAGCTATCTGGAAAGTACGTTTCTTTCATTTCCCCATGGAAACATGGTGTTCGCGGAAATCATGATCTGTATCAACGATTCCCCGCGGGCATCGAAAACGAAAGAAACTGGTCAGTCTGGACCAAGGTTAGAAGATTGCTCGTGTTGTATAATAGCCACGCGAGCTTGATTCAGGGCCGTAAAACTCGGGAACTCGCGAGGGGAGATGTGGTCTATTTCTGTGCGCACGTTGAAAGCGGGAAACGTAGAAGCTTAAGAACGACATGCCTAGTTGGAACCATAAGTGACACACTCTTTTTATCTTTTAATCGTCGAGCCAAACAAACTTTCCAGATAAAATGCTTGTTAATTCCTACCATCGAACCAACCAATTATCGATACTGCTTGTATCTTGTATAATTCATGTTTCTTTCCAAAAAGATTTATCCAGATAGATAGTAACATCGTCATTTTTCTTCTTAATATGCTTCCAAAGTTTGAAATGAAGTTCAGGTTCTTTCAACTATCGCTTGACGTGAAAAAGAGAACATTGTTACATTATATTCCTAATTATAATTTACATGTACACGCAAGACGTTTTATTTTCCATTAAGTATACTCTGGAGAAATCAAATTACTCGAATTAGTAGTAACTTGATTGATCTGAACGAGATCTAAGAATCATTACAAATTTTTCAAATTTACAAATTTACAAATTTTCAATGATCTACCGGTTACCGATATGTATCGAAATATTGCATTAACAAAATTTACTTTCTTTCGTTTCGCTATCGATATTCACGAACTGTCGTTCTTTTTTCCCCCCCTCGCGTTCATTCTCAATGTGTGTCCCTTAGTTTACTTTTTCCTGCATCTCCAGATGCAACCGGAGAATCCTGCAGCTTTTTCATAAGCGATAAGGTTCTCATTGGAATACGAAGAGAAGATACGTTTTGCCTAACTCGCTCGCCTCGGTTATCGAAGAACCGGCTTATCGACGTAGCAGAGCCGTTGGTATTTGCCGAGTATAACCGATAATTCAGTTACATTTCACTTGGCCCGTTGTGTTCTGGACACGTGAGTCATCGGTGTGACTCAAGGGGACGGAAATCTTGTTTGTCGAAAAAGCACAGGCCTTTTTCATCGTGTTTCACGGCTTCGATATCTCTGTTTGACCATTGTGTCGTATTCCGCCAAAAGAGAGACACAGACGAACTCGCTGACAAAATACCAGATCGGTGACGAACTAAGTCGGCACATTCTACATAATCAAAGGATAAACATAAATTTCTCTGTTGATTAGATAAAGTTACGCGATAATATGCGTTCGTCATTCAGAATGTCAGGAGACCATCAATTACACTTACTTCTATCAATGTCTGCCATTCATTGGATTCTTTTTGAGAAAAGGGGAATGGTTATAGCAATATATATAGAATGAAACTGATGTAACCAGAGGGTAACTGACGATAGTAATATGCTCGAGGAGCATATGAAAGAATATTCTTTTTTAGAATTTACAGGAAATCACGAGAAGATTGGATACCAGGCTGCAAAGGAAGTTTTTGGTAGCCTCGTGTCGAGGCGTTTCGTGCCCAAAGCCCCTTATCATTCTCCTGTCCGGTGTAGAATTGTTAGACGACTGGACGGAGAACTGATAAGGGCCCGAGGGTCACAGAATCATCGTGAGATTTCTTGCAACACTAAATGTGGATGAAAACCTGTGGAATCAATTGGGAAAACTTCATAATTTAAATTTTGTATAATTCTTCCTCGATGAACAGTAAAGTTTGACACATTTTTAATAAAATTGAACTGCTGATTAGAAAATTTAGGCGTCATTTTGTGTGAAAAAACAAATGTAAAGGAAAGGGAAAAATTGTCAACATTTTTGTAAAAGAAAAAAATATTTAAGAAACATTATTCTGTGTAAGTAGTAGATGTTAAAATTAATTCCGCACCTTTACATGTAATCGATTGTCGTCTGTATGCGTTAAGTCAAAACCTTTCCCTGGCTTCCTACGTTTTCCAGGTATTTTGGCATAGAAAACCACTTGTATCTCAACGTTGATAGCTATGTCGGAGAATGAGATGTATTTTGTGAATAAACGTCTAAGTTATGTAAAAAGGCACGAAATTAATTTATAAGACTAATGTGTTATATATTCATCTTTTTACATCTATGTCATGTAAACAATAGATAAATGTAGGTATATGTATTTTTTGCTTTTTTATTAACAAGCGATAAATAATTCATATACATATATTTTCGGATTAACCGGCAGGAAGGGAATAGGAAACCTACTGTATAATAAATGTTTATGAAATTTATTCAATAAAATTATATAATCATTAATTAATATATTTTTCTAGAATGATGGAATCAGGTAAAACAAAGTGGATAAAAGACATTACCAGAAAAAATACTCTATTTATTATAATAGATGAATACTTGTATGATTTCTTTCACAGACGCACCCGCAGATATACACGCGACAGGCACTGTGTGAAAATTGAAAATTTCCGGGATGATACTCTTGCCGTACCTATTATGAAACAATAGTATCAATGCAGCACCTCTGTTCTCTCCTCTCTTGTTTGCTGATTTAAATCTAAATGAGTTCAAACATATCGCGTGAATAAAAGAGAATCGTTACGCCTTGTAGTATGAAACCCGCCGAACTCCTGTCAACCGCAACGCGCGAAATTTGAAACAGTCGTAACCCAATTATGAATTACGACGTGCTCGTAATTCTACGCCAATTCCTCACGGAGAATTAGTATAACTGAAATTGTTTAACGACTATTTACGATACTTGTCTTTTATACCTTTGAGCAAAATTTTGAAGTGTCCGATAAATTACATTCACGGTTCATTAGTCTTTGACGCGCTCTGATCAATCTCGTAATTAGGGTTAATTTGAATTATTTGCCTAGTAGGATTCTCCACTTTCTTCATAGGATTTTGTACAATAAAAATTTGCTTCGTTTCTTCCTTTTCTGTTAATAGTTGACCGACACCCATAATTTTTAAAGTAGGTACTGTTTTTATTAACGTAGCATTAGGAATTGATAAATTTGTATTGCAATCTACTTTTGGAAATATTATAGGGTTTTTCGAGACTGCCAGAGATAATTTTTTCTTCGGTGTAATAGGCACTTCCATGGAAGAGAAGGTCGTCCTTTTTATCGCAGATGCTACTGGAACTGGGTTTGTTATAGTATCAGAATTTACGGATATTATTTTTGGACCAAGTATTATACCATTTCCTGTAAATAACATGAAAAGATAAAATAAAACATAAAACAAATAGTGAGTAATTATTTTCATATTATTCTATTACCTTTTTGCATCGCCTTTGTAATTGGACAGTCTTTGTGAGCCAATAGAAGCGTTTTTAATTTAGCAACCTCCGTTCGTAGAACTTTGATCTCCATTTTTAGAGCCACGTTGGTCTCATTCACATTGGTAACCGTCCTTTCCAGCTGCTGTATCCACGCTTTTCTTTTAGCTCTTGCCCTCATCGCGCTAGCACGATTACGTTCGAGAATTTCTTTCTTTTTCAATTGATCTTCTACCGTTTTATTTCTATTCTTTTTTGAATTATTTAACTCATCTTTCGAGAAATTGCTATTCGGTTTTAGATTTTGTGAACTTTTTGTTAGTGTTTGTTTTAATTTCTATAATTATACGAAAAATATTATTTTCCAAAAGCGAGATAACTAAAATATTTTATTGAAATATATCCTAAATATATTAAAATACCATTTTTGCTAAAGATAGTGTAGAAACCGTTGGATTCTTGGACTCCAATCTTGTATTACATTGCAAAAGTGGTTCCGTCTTTATGACAACCGTTTGTTGCTTCAATGACTGCACGTTTGTTGTACCAACAGAATCGCAAACTGGAATTGCTGAGAGTTGCATTAATTTTCCATCTGCCGTTTTTAGTAGTAGCTGTACCTCCTCGCCATTAATCAATCTTTACAAGAATACATTCTTTATTCATTTGTGCAAGAACATTCAAATTTTGGATGAAAAGATTTAAAAATTACTTACAATTGTGGACTAGGTTGTTCTTGTAAAACTTTCGGCATTATTGGCGTTTGTGTAACTTGATCGATAACATTCTCTGTTAAGGTCACATTTCGTTCAATGGTTAACTTTTCCTTCATTAAGTTCTGTTCATCCGTTTCAGTGAGTTTTACTGTACTGCAAACTTCAGTATGAATGGTAGTTTTTTCCTCTGTGCTTTTTTCAGTGATCGAGATGCTTCCACATTCTTGCACTGAATTTTCTGACAACATTTGACTGCTAGTAGACAGCACGTCGGCTATGTGAGGAAATATGTGCGGTGTATGCAAAGTATCATCCGTAATTCCAGCCTAGAGACATACTTGTAATATGAGATATTGAAATTTATTTTAATTTCATCATTTACCTCTGGTACTGCCAGCGTGCCAGTGTTCCCAGACTCCACTGCCCTCCTAAAAGTTTCTTCGAAAGGATTTACATTTTGTAAATCTTGGAATAGGCCAACTTCCTCACAGTTTCGAATGAAACGTGTTGGCGTTGGTGTTTGATCTGCTGCAAAATGTATAGACATCTCTTATTTACTTGTCTCTATGTTTGAAATATAATTCAATGATTAAACTTATTTCAATTGCAACCTACCAACAAAACTGCCATTCTTGGAACTATTTCCAAGATTTAACATCATATCATGTTTCTTCTTATGAACTGATAACTGGTCCTCGTTTGCAAAACTCTGTAGAATAAGTGGAATATGATTAAACGATATATTCAAGCAATCAGAAATTCTTGTTCTTCTTTTAATACAAGGAAGAATTACAAATTTATAATGAAATATATCAAAACAAAATGTTTACTACTTTTAACATAAATATATAAATATCTTCATTACCATATTGCAACCGGATGAGGAGCAAGCAAAAATTTTCTCATTGTGTGCCATTATTAATCACTATTTTATGGCAACGGTTCACAGGTGGTACGATATAACAGAAAAATGAAGCCTAGAAGGTTGTGACACGGCACGATTCGCCAGAAGGCACCATTCTTTTGGACACTTTTATATAGATCATACATATTTTTGCTTAGTGTTGGTTCTTTTATACTTTCCAAGTCATTCAGAACCAAATACGTGGAAAAGAACAATACACACAGTTTCCAAAAATGTTTTGACACAACGACTCATATCAGCTGTTTCAACGTTAGATGAACAGTCTTTCATTATAAAAAGATAGAGCGGCAGATGGTAGGTTGCATAATTTGTATCTAGGGACATTTTACTACTTGCTTGCAGAGATGAATAGGGAGGTTGCTAATGGCATGAGAGAAATTCAACTAAAAGTACTCTCCACGTATTACTGTCTCTTGGGTTAAGCGGTGGTTTTCGATCAAACTATACACACATTTTTTCTCCGATGATTTTAGTGGGAGTAACATGCGAATACACGAAGAAGGGTGGAAATAGATGTGCGTACTGGGTCTACGGAAAGTAGACGCTTAATGACGATTTGAAAACGAATGACATTTTGATCGCCAGTTTTACAAGAGCAGAGTTGTTTAGCTCCATCGAGCAACGGAATCAAATTCTGATAAAATTACGCAATTACGTAAATTACTATACAGAGAATCATGAACTCATTGTAAGATTGTACGATTATCGTAAATTTGCAAATTGCAGTCAATAAATCAATCTTATTTTGCAAATGAACAAAGCGTTTAATTGTTGAAAATCCTTGCAGCATCCACCATTCTCAAACATTATCTTTTTCTCTTTCCATCGCCGTTCGTATCCACTTACACGATAACATATGACTTGTGTACTCTATCTTTGTCTATGATCTTTATATTTCTACGATTACTTTTAAATCATGTTTAATTTCTTTGTGGTTCCAAAGTGAGTCTAGTGTTATTTGTGGTGCATAGGTTGGTGATTTTTTTTAGTTAACTATCATGCTGTGTTGTGGTTATGTATTTGCATTTAACAATATTATGAATGAAAAATACAATGTAAAAGAAACGTGTTAAACAAACTGGAAATATTAGGATACCAAATATATTAGAATTTTGAATGGAGGTGCTATTTTTTAAATACTGAGGCAATATTTACAATCAGAAAGAAGTTTGAGGTTAAAAAATTTAGAACATAACATTTTTTTAAAGCAAATACGATCAAATATTTTTTAACGGAGTAGGGCCTATATAACCGTTGTGAAGATGCAAGTGTGTAGGAGAATCTCAACATTATTGTTGTCACGTAAGTTTTACTACAATTATTTCCTTTCTAAAATATTTCGTTTTTACTAATTTGCATTATTTTATAGCACATTGTGTGTTTAAGTCGGTACCAGCAGCCGGAGTAAAATCTTGTGCATTACCAGCTGATTTTAGTGGTATTTGAAATGATTAATTTGTTATAAAATAGAACGAAAAATATGTGTACATATTATTAATAAATAATTATTCTTCATAGATGTTGAATTTCCTAGTCGTATAAAGCTCAAAGTTGTGCCAAAAGTACCTCAGTATCCACCTCAAATACGCGCTTATAAAACACAAAAAAGATTGAGACTAATGCGAGGTCCAGAAGAATATCATAATACCCTTTTACACAGACAATATGGCATAATAGTAAGCGAATAAACAGTAAAATTAAAAGACTATATATGTGTTTGATTAAACATAAAGATGTGAATTTTTTTCAGGCAACAGGTGGCGGCAGATTGAAACATAACAATTTTGAAATGATCCGTATGACAATTTTGAGAAATGTAGATTACAATAAAGTATTTGCAATTTGGAGAGTACCTGCTCCTTGGCAACCTATTACTAAGAAGGTAATGGATATGAAATAACATTCGAAGATGCTAATTTTAACTTATACATAATATAGGGCCATGGATTACGGATGGGTGCTGGTAAAGGAGGTATAGATCATTATGCTACTCCAGTAAAAGCAGGACAAGTTATTATAGAAGTTGGAGGAGAGGTTGAATATTTTGAGGTATTGACAAAATTTTATTGTAACCTTTCGACCTGTTATCGATCGTTAATATTTTGACATAGTACGCGATATTACAAATAACCTTTTTAGGTTAAACGCGTTTTAGAAAATATTGCGAAAAGATTGCCATGTACTGCTATGGCAGTTACTCAAGAAATTATGGACAAAATGGCAGAGAACAAGGAAAAAATGGAAAAAGAAAATCTAAACCCATGGACTTGGAAATATATCATTCAGAATAATATGCTTGGTTGTCATAAATGGATCTCAAAATATGACAAACGATGGTTCAACGAGTATGTTTAATTTAAGATCTATATAGCTGTAAATATACACTGCTTAAAACACTCGAATGTCTTTTTAATTTTTGTATCTTCTCGTGTTTGTTTATCTTTTTTTTTAATCATTATATTATACCCAATCTTTATTAGAGAATAGTACGAATTATATATCAATCAAGTATATATCTATAAATGAGGAACAAATAAAAATCGTAGTATACGAATTATCGTTTTCGTTTCATTCTTTTTCGTCTAATTCTAAGAATCCATTTTCGACGTGTAACGTGCTATTACTTACCTTGTGTAACTAGAATTAGTACGTGTATTCGTTAACGATGGATAGGATTGAAGTAGAATTCGAGCAATACCGATGTGTTACAATTACAATATTTTATATATCTTTGATGACGGTTTGGTGGTAACAACAGGTAAATACTACATATTGTACATTGAGTAGGCGATAGTCGTATCTTATTGTTTAATTAGCGTATCGGTTACGCCGATGCCGATGGCGATGGCGACGTCCACCACGACGGCAACCCCAAACGACAGGGCGAAACGCGACGAAAACAGCGATAACAATAGCAGCAGCAACAACAACAATCTCAATAACAATAACAATAACAGCAACGATGATTATGATCGTGATAGATTAAAGATAATCATTTTCATAATACAATAAATATACATACTAATCGATAAGTACAAAGTGAATGATCTTGGTAACGGATTTTACGATAAATCCGTGCCAGCTAGAAGAACGATAAATAGATATGTGTACAGCGAGAGGATAGTGATTCGCGAGAGCATCGTCGATTATTGCCATCGTCGTCGTGGACGCGGTCGTCATCGCCGTCCTCGTCGTGTTTTGTCGCCGTCGCCGTCGCCGTCATTGCCGTCGACGCCTCGTCAATCGTTTATCTATTTTATCCGCATTTATCACACTTAACGTAGATACAGCGACATCGTGTCTGAGGAATGTGTGTGAATGCAGAGTCAGCATTGCGACGATATTCTATTACAATATATGTATATATATATATTTATATATTTATAATATAATCCTCCCTGATCGGTGGGAACTTATCAAAAATAAAAAAAAGGAGAAAAGAGAGACCGGCAGTTTCGACTTAAACAGGGTGCCCCCTGTATGAGAATGCTTCCGCCTCTAGGACGTGCGGATTTCGTTTGCGCCAAACAAAGCTCCTGGAGATAGTATCGTATATTATAAAATTCGGCGTTATGAGTTGCATCGTGCTTTAAGCTTCACTTTCACCATTCTGTAATCGCAAAACGATCACGAAAGGCGTTCGAAAATGATCGAACGAACGGATAAAGTTACCAAAAGCGAGCCGAGGAACGTCACACAGTTTCTCTTACGCGAGTTTACATTTTTCTGACTTTTGAACGAGAAAACAAGGAAATGCGTATATATATATACAATGTTTTGGCCGTGGCCAGAGCTGGAGGAAATAGTATTCTAAGTAAAAAATAGTAACTGTAAGATCGTTTGTACGTTGATAGTGTTTAACGGCGAATCGGGGGGGCGGTTTCGCTTCTTCCTTTTTTTCTTTTTCTTTTTTCTTTTTTCTCTGTAACATCGCGGCAAGCGAAACATTCAACAGCGTTCGTTTCGCGTGAAACAGCTTCGCAAGCTCTCCACTATTTTCTATCGTAAATACTATTTTTTTCCGGCTCTGCGCGGGGGGATTCCTCGTCCTACGGGGATGTTTTCGTCCATTTTTCCTTTCTCGTCTCGTC